TTCCCAGATTGTTACTGAACCACATGCTATCTGTTCTCCTTTCCTCAATAATGATATCTCAGAAGTGGGCCTTGCTGTGGCAGCACTGACCTTCTGGGAAGCTCTTTCTCTTGCAGTATAGGAGTCTGCAAATGTGATGAGCTTCAGATGACAACTGAAGACTCAGCTGTTCTGATAGGCTTTTCCTGACCTATCAGATGTCTTTAAAGTGTCTGCTTTGGGGTTGTTTTGCCTTTCTAGGATTAGGGTATTTTAGTATTGTATTTATTTTATATATTTATATCCCAAAAGAGTCTTTGAGTGTTTAACAAAAGATGTAGTTGTAATCTTTTGTAAACTAGTTAGATACTGTTTTGGTACATAACTATATGAAATATAAATAAATGCAACAGTTGCTATAGGAACTCCATGGAAAATAAATGATCCATACCTGGGCTCTTAAAAATTGAAAAGCATTTATTACACAAGATGTCAGTCATTATATATATCGGTCTCTACACCACTGCTCCACATTACAAAGTGGTTGCTGGAGAATCATCAAGTTTCATAATATGATGCTAAGTTGTTGTGTTGTAAATACTTCAGTATCTTATGGCATAGATGTGGATCACTTGCAATGTAAAAGCAATAAAGACCCTACAACTTAACCTATGACACACTTTTTTCTCATTTAATTCCACCTTTTGTGTTTATTTTTGTGGGTTTGATTGGAAAGCATGAATGCCCAGTGCTAATAGGATCAAATGCTTCTTTTCTAAACAGGTAAGAAGAGGAGCCCTTTCTTTCAGGAGATGGATTCGGGGACAAAGACTTTGCCGCTCCCAATTGCTGACTTGCAGGGCAAAATCTCGCTATTTCTTTCTCAGTTACTTAGTGGCCCTGCATCTTTTTGTTTTCTTGCGTCTCACAGGCATCTTATAAATGGAAAAGCTCAGAATGACAACCTTTCCCCATATCATCAGTATGTAAATATTAGCCAAATACTCTTTTTTTGTTTAACTCCACCATCCCAAAAGGCCACACCTCTGGGCCTATTCTGGGTCAGTCTGTCCGGCAAGGAAGGATTGTCTCTCTGAGCTTCCCAGAAACTAGTCCAGGACCATGGAGTGCTTTATTCATTTTGATGGATTGAGACAAAGACAAAGTTGTTTTTATTTAATTATCCGCTGTTTGTTCATTTATTCATTTTGTATTGATAGATTGAGACAAAGCCAAAGTTGTTTTTATTTAATTATCCATTGTTTTTATTTAATTATCCGATATCCACAAATACAGTTGAAAATGTTCCTTGCATATTGAAATAAAGTGTTTATTCTGTTTGTGTCCTTGTATTATAGCATCATTCTAATATAGCATGTGGTCAATAATTTCTCAAGAGTCCAAGATCAGATAGATCTGTAGTGATCACAATACACACACACACACAAAATTATTACCTAGAATGGTTTTGCACCAAAATTAGTCACTGGAATAAAGCCTTGTAAAACTGAAAGTGCTTCTAGTCACTCAGCATTCTCTTCCATGTTGAAATATGTAGCAATCACAGTGAAATTATGGTTGGAAGAGGAGGTAGTTCCAAGCACCATCTCTGAAATTACAGGAATCCATTATTTTCATGAAAAGATCACTTTAAAGGCATGCAATTCCAAAACAGTGGCAGTTGTTCAAAGATCAAACATGTTTATGCAATAATCACATCAGCAGTTGTTGACACTGAGAAAGAGACATGCATGCACAAATAGCTTTCCTTCTCTGTGTCCTACGTGGCAAATTAACATCTGGAAAGCAAACTTGGTGGGAAAGGCAAGTGGGCCCATGGTTATGATTGAACCAGGAAGTGTCTAAAGAGATGTGACAGCTAAAAGAGCTGATTGTTAAAATGTGTCACATAAAATGAAATTGTCTGCTGAGTCCCAAAGGAAACTACTAGCAACTGAACTAGCATCTGATTAAGTTGTCAGATATGAACATTCAGAAGAAGAAAACATGCCTACTGCGAAGTCCTCAACTGCAAGTGCTTTCTGTTTGCTGTTAGAATAAAAAGACTTCAGAGGGGACTATTATGCTTCTGTGAGTAGTAGTTTCCATTTACTATTGAACTCATGCCAAATACTTAGCTGCTTTTAAAGTAAATTGAAGAGTTTAAGAAGTAGTTCAGGGATTTTGTGAAGTGATTATGTGGAGAAAATTGTGGATGCCCATGAAACCTCCAGATTGCAGTGCAAGTGTGATAGCAGGTGTGGTTTTTGAAACTTTTGCTTCTGAACAAGAGACTTACTAGTAAATTCTTTCCTTTGAGAGTGAAGTCTTATTTAGTGGATTCCAGTCCCTAGACACAAGGTGGCTGCCTCAGAGAAATTGGATTTAAGTTCTTGGATATGGACAGAGGTGGGGCACATAGGGTGTGCCAGACACCCACTCAGCTATAATAAATAGAAAAGCAGAGTGTAGCTGTCTGCTAAAAGCTAGAACTTCACTGAGAAGAGTAGATCCATACCCGAGAATGCTGGAAGGTCCACATGACCAGTCAGGAGATGCAACTCCACCTAACAGGCTTCCTTGCGAGGAAGAATATATTGTGGAGGGGAAGCTTTTGGGAATTTCTCTGAAGCTGGGCTAATAATGGCTGTTGCTTCAAACATGGGTAAACAGGCATATAGGAGTCAATACACAGAAAGAGAAGCTAGCTATGTTTATCAGAAAATTTCACCACCTCTTGTCATAATCCTACCATCATTGAGCCCCACACAGGGCCTGTTGCAGCATGTAAACATTTTTCTGAATATATTGATGCTGAATATATTCCAATTTGCTCTTCATTATGCTGAGGATCTGGCCTAGATGATTGACAAGAGCGGCATAGTAGACAATTTTTGAGATGCCAGGAGTGCAGAAGAAGAAGAGTAGAATGGATTTGATATCCCGCTTTATCACTACCCAAAGGTGTCTCAAAGCGGCTAACATTCTCCTTTCCCTTCCTCCCCCACAACAAACACTCTGTGAGGTGAGTGGGGCTGAGAGACTTCAAGAAGTGTGACTAGCCCAAGGTCACCCAGCAGCTGCATGTGGAGGAGCGGAGACACGAACCCTGTTCACCAGATTACGAGTCTACGGCTCTTAACCACTACACCACTCTGGCTCTCAGATACCACTTCATTAAAAGTCCAATATGTTAAGTGTAGGTTCTCCAAAGACTGATCAAACACCAGGCCCTAGGACGGAAGAGCTCAATGGTGCTACAAAAATGGACACATTCTTGCATGGTTGGAAACTTTTCAGACACTCCCTTACACCCTTCTTAGGTTATGCATCTTTCTGTACACCTGAATTAGGCTGTGTCTTCCAGGTCAAAGGTTTATAGGGTAAGGCAGAATATGCTGCAATTGTACAAAAGCTACTGACTTAACCACTCTTCTGCAAAGCTATCACTTCTCCTTATGTGCACTGCTCTTATAAACCGTAACTGGTCCATTTCAGAAGGGTTACTCACTGTAGAGCTGGGTGGATATGGATTTTTGTAACTAAACTAGGACTGTATTGTCTCTGAACACCAGGACACATGTATGTTCTTCAGAAGCTCTTGGAAGCAGAGAGAATTACCCTTGGATCCAGCCATACTGGTGGCTCCTCTCCCAATGCTGTATGGATCAAGGGTTTGAATACACCAGCCCTTTAAGATGGCAGCTGAGATCATCATTTTATTTGTATGCCACCTTTCCACAGTTAAAACAATGTTCAAGGCGGCTTACAATATGAAAAGATTTACCTAATTTCAAACATAGCAAAATAGTCATAAAAATAAATAAAACACATCAAAAACTACATAACCAAACTGAACAATTTCCACATAAAAATAAAGATACAAAAATTAATATCAGTAACAGCAGCAAAAACTTCCAATGAAACCTTCCCCCAAATACACCAGTCTTCCTGGGCATGACAATTGCAGTTCTCAGTAACAATGTTGTCATCTTTGGAGAGGGAATTCCTGGCCTAATCATCCCATGGAAACCACCAAAAGAGACTCTGAAGTACTGATTATATATGGGGGAGGTGCATTCTTCTAAATAACATTACTATTTTATATGACAAGGAGCAGGGAGATGAATAGGTTTTGAATTCTTGTTTGTTTAATGAATTTCTAATTTTATTTTTTATTTTGTGTTTTTTTTTATCCTACTCCTTGTTTAAAAATAAATAGTCCTGGCTTGATGGGAAGAAGAAATATAGCAAATAAAGAGGAAAGGAACCCCACACTTAGAAAGGAGCATGTATTCAACACATGCTATGTTGATGGGGACTTCCCCACCACAGACTAGGGCTTAGATTTATAGATCCAATTGTATGAGTAGAAGCACTTCCATTCTCATATAGAAAATCTCCAATTACACACATACCCCCAGTGTAAGTCTCTCACATCACCTGCATTATTTACTACCCTGACAGCCCCTTAGGCCTTTGGAGTAGCTTTTTCTGGATGTGAGGGGCCACGGTTTGCAAGACCCCTATACGTGAGTGAAACGTTCTTCTGACACAAGCATAAGTCACCTTTAAGAAGTTTTTAATGCGTGTGTCAGCTCTCTCTGAGCACAGGAAATTCAAAAGATGCTATTGAAAAGTAGGTACTGATGCCAAGCATTTGTGAACAATTCTGGATTTGAAAGTTGCCTGATGGCTACAACTCTGTTGCCCCAGGTTAACCCAATCAGTAGAGATGGACACACAATACATTTCCCAGTGTTTGCGATACCAGATACTAAAATGCGCTGTAGGCAACACAGATCAAAAGTGCATGACACAGAACTGAAGTAACTGCAATTATCACTTTCTAAGTGACTAGTTGCTGAGTCATATCCCATTTTCAGCATAGAGTCGCCTCATCTCAAGATAAGGTGGCTATTTTCTGCCTCTCTACTACAGAATCCTGATAACAACATGTACAGTTTGCTCACCACTACTGTACATGGTAAATTCTGCTTTTGAAACCAGTGCCTGTTAAGTATGAATAGAGTTATAAATAGAGCTCTATAAACCTAGAGCTAGGTATTGATGAAACACACAAAAACCCTAGTTCTAGGCATGAGCTTAGAAATTATTTCAGCCTATGTGTAAACTGGAAAAAGGAAGTGACAAAAGGGAGACTGGCAGAGTGGAGGAAGTGAGGGAAGCCATTGTCAGCACTTGAGAGTGAGAAGGCTTCCAATGGCATCAGAAACACTGCCCTAATTTATCTAGCCCTTTAAGCTGTTGCTTTGATAAGCACAAACTAGAAAAAAAAATGTTTCCAAAAATGGCATGGCAGACCTAGGCGTTCTATGAATTTCATTCCATGAGCTGGATATAAATGAAATAGAAGGTGAGATCATTTCATTTGTTCCAAGGGAGCTATTGCTGTTTTTCACCATTCCCTGGTGTGTTTGGTAAGTATCATCCATATATTGTTTCACCTTTTAGAAGATAAAACAAGACTTGATGTTACTGCAGGTGTGTGGAGGGGGGAGAGTGTCTGGTCTTCTGAGTACAGTGGTACCTCAGGTTAAGAACTTAATTCATTCTGGAGGTCCGTTCTTAACCTGAAACTGTTCTTAACCTGAAGCACCACTTTAGCTAGTGGGCCTCCTGCTGCTGCTGCGCGATTTCTGTTCTCATCCTGAAGCAAAGGTCTTAATCTGAGGTAATATTTCTGGGTTAGCGGAGTCTGTAACCTGAAGTGTATGTAACCCGAGGTACCACTGTATACTTGAAGATCTTGTTCCTTGAGAGGACACAAACAATTGCATTCCCTTCTAATTCAAGTTACCCCATTGGAACAGCATATTAAATAGTGCCTTGATTTTAGATTGACTATCATTTGGTGACTGTCAAAACCACTTGATATCCGATGGAACTGTATGAATTGCTGCTATTCCAGTGGGATACTCTGCAGGTTACTAACACTATAGGCCTAAACAATTTGAATTAGTTACCAATGTAAACCTACTCATCACCCCATACAGGGCTGATGAACTCCACACACGTCTTGAGTGCATACATCTCTCCATGGGGCAGAAGTACAAGTGTTCATGCAGGATGTGATAACATGTCACAGAAAAACGACGAGCCAAATGTTATAATTGAAGCTTTGGAGATGATTTAAGTACTGCCTGTTTCATCATACAGAAGTAGGCATCAGTAGAAATCAATTTGTGTCCAGCTGGCTAGCATCCTAATCCTAAATACATTTCTGTGAAACTTGCTTCCGTGTAGGATATCAACCCAGACCAGATATGCACTTGGTACTGATAGTTTTGCTACTGTAGCTCCTAGCTCCAAGCTATGTTTTTACACCATCAACCCCGTTCCCTTCTTGCGTCCAATTTTGTCAGTCTTGCAGAACCACTTTTTTGCTCTCCTCAAAATATATTAGATCTTTCATCTAAGCGGGAACTAACAAATCGACTGAGCAGAAATGTGGACTAAATGTGTCCATTTTTAAAAAGAGCTTGTTTTTGTGTGCTTTATTCTGTTTTTGTTTGTTTGTTTGTTTTTGGCTTTATGCTGTGAAGCAATTTGTTCATTGTTTCTGTTGTTGCTATGGGCATATGGATTGTTAGAGGAGCGGTAACACCTCTGGTGGGGGACATGTCAAGCTCGTTCTGGAGTAGTTTGGTTCCCAACCTGCATTCAGCTCTCACCTGTGGCTCCTAAAAGCTGTCAGCATGCAACAGCAACCACACCCCAGGAATGGCTTTGTCTGGCTGGCTAAAGCAGGTGAGGGTAGCTAATGGGTCTCAGTCCCTCAGTGAGTTAGTGACTTGTCCTGCATGCAAAGACAGGTTCTGGTGGATTGAGCAGATGAGGACAATACAGTGGTGCCTCGCAAGACGAAATTAATCCATTCCGCAAGTCTCTTCGTCTTGCGGTTTTTTCGTCTTGCGAAGCACGGCTATTAGCGGCTTAGCGGCTTAGCAGCTATTAGCGGCTTAGCGGCTTAGCGGCTATTAACGGCTTAGCGGCTTAGCGGCTATTAACGGCTTAGCAGCTTAGCGGCTTTAAGAAAAAGGAAACAAACTCGCAAGAACTTGCAAGACGTGTCGTCTTGCGAAGCAAGCCCATAGGGAAATTCGTCTTGCGGAACGACTCAAAAAACGGAAAACCCTTTCGTCTAGCGAGTTTTTCATCTTGCGAGGCATTCGTCTTGCGGGGCACCACTGTAGTGGGTCCAACAGTCAAGAGGGCGGTTTCTGCACGTACTGTAGTGGGAAGTGAGGAGCAGATAGGGTTCATCAACCTGGGAAGGTAGCTCATCTAGAAGAACTCTGGCCCTAAACTTCTGCTGCCTTATGAGATATCTTCAGGAGAAGAAAAGACTAAGGAGTAAACCCTACACAAATCTGTTCCTAAGATGATTGGATGGCACCTTGTACACCTCCTTCTGGCAACTCCTGCAGCCAAGCTGGTGCCAAACGTATTGCTCTGCTTTCCTTTGGACCAGCGAGCCAGAGAAAGGAGCCTTGTCGTCTGGGCAGCCCAGAACCTCCATACACATTGCCCAGGCTTGTATCTTTGGTGCTGCTAACGCAGCAATTTGACCCCCCTCCCGGAGGTGCACTCCATTGTCTCTCAAGAAAAACAGATGCCAACAACTGTTGTTGCTCGTTAGAGGGACGCACCTATTCCCTTACAACTGAACTTGAAGAATCCCAAACAGAAGGCACATGTGCAAGTTGTCTTTGATCAGTGGAACCAGACTTGTCTCAATGCACTTCCCAGAAGAGTCCTTTAGATAAGGAATTCACAGTTCACAGATACAGAATAGTTCTTGTAAGTGAGCACTTAATGAGAACAACTGCCATTCCAAAACATTAACCAACACTTTCCAGAGAAGGTCTATTTTTAGAACTTTGATGCTATGACTGTTTTTACCGTTGGGAATAATGTAGAGATTTGGTGGTGCTTTAAATAAGATGTTTCTTTAAATCAGGGGTGGGGCCTATGGACCTATGGCCTCCAGATATTGCTGGATTACAGCTCCCATCATAAATGACCATTCGTCATGCTGGCTGGGCAAGATGGAGCCACATGTTGCCCATCCCTGACTTAAATGGTTATTTTGAACAACGTGTGCATTTTATAATTTCAATGCTTTGAAATGTCCAAAGGTGGCACCTTTGTATTGTCAGTTTAACAAACCAGCAGATGTGCAATGGTCATTGTACACACCTCAGCTATGTTTTCTACTTGGATAGAAGCTGGTTTAAGGGACAGCGCATTAAACAGCATTGATCAGGAAGTTACAGATTACCTGGATTGTGACTAACTTCATGTGCATCAAACACCAGCCCTGGGGATGCTGGAACTGGACTACTAGTGAGCTAGGTGGACCAATAATCTGACTCAGCAAAAAGCAGCTCCCTGTGTTCTGTCTCATCCCTGATGCTTGCTCATAATTTTACCATTCTCTCTCATCCTCCCCCCATTTGTATTGTCTACCTCTGGTTCTCTGTCTGCTGTCTATTTTCCATGTGCCACTCGGCTTTCTGCCCCGCTCCCACTTTCCTTCTTGTACTGCTACCCTCTTTTTGTTTAGCTTCACTTCTCTTAGGACGTCTCCTCTTGCTCAAGGTCCCTGACTCTCTAAACGTATTCCCTTCCACCAGAGCACAGTGCATTCAGCAGGGGTGATGCTGCCATCTGTTATGTGGAGTGTGGGAAATTTTGGCTTCATGTGGAAACCGGGATTATTTATTTATACTGAAATTTCTAGCCCGCCTTTCCTGCCCGAGTCAACAATGTGAAACAAACAAACAAAATCAAAATAATTACATAGCCATCAATTTAAAAAGTCAAATAAATAACAGCATAACAGCATAAAAAGAGCACAGAGAACAAACAACAGCTAATGACAGTCGAAAGTTGCTGGAAAATGTAAGTCTTTAAATTTTGATGGAGCACAAGTAAAAAGGATCTCTTAGGAACACATAGAATAGGCCAAAGTCAAGACATGCCATGATAGATATTCGACGAAGAATGGTCTATGCTACAATTCAATCCTAAATTGAAGGCCCATATTGTTAGATCCATACTTCTGAAGCCCATCCCTAATAATAATAATAATAATAATAATAATAATAATAATAATAATATATTTGTACCCCACCCATCTGGCTGGGTTTCCCCAGCCACTCTGGGCAGCTTCCAACAAAGATTAAAAATACATTAAAATGTCACACATATAGCTGCATTAACTGATCTTTTAATTTTTCTTATAAACTTTTACTCACCCATCTATGCTTAATTAAGTATTCTATGTATATGTTTAAATCTACGTTTGGTTCTTGCTCCTATATATTTAATAATTATATATACAGTATATATTTAAAGGATTGATTCATAAATTTGCTGACTTTACCAGGGAACTTACTCTCTCTCTCTCTCTCTCTCTCTCTCTCTCCCCATTTTTCTAACATTACATTTTGTAGTTTTAATTATTCCCAGATAATCTTGATCGGCTTTCCCCTGAACCGCTGTTTCCACAGCCTAGGACACTGAGGAGCCATGTGTGATGATGAAGAAACCACAGCACTTGTCTGTGATAATGGCTCTGGACTTTGCAAAGCTGGATTTGCCGGAGATGATGCTCCAAGGGCTGTTTTTCCATCCATCGTTGGACGACCCCGGCACCAGGTCAGTTTTTATTTTAAGGGAAAATTGTGCCCACAGTCAAGAGATGTGGGTCTCCATCTCTACATCTACCACATGCAAGACACTTTTGAAACACAGAACTTCTAAAATAGCATTGCGCATGGGAAACAGGGTTGGGGAGGTGAGGTGTCTGCTGTTCAAAGGGGGAAAGTCCCATGGCATGTTTAAGGCAGGATAAAGTAGGCCACTAAACCATGGTACATGTGCCCAATGAGATACAGGGTTCTTATTCAACAGAATATGTTGGATCGCTCACTAGAAGTAGCTTCAGAGCATCAGTTTTTGCTAGCAAGAACAGTGTTAAAGGGATAACTCTTTATCTGCTCTCTATTATTCCATGTTGTCATGAAGAACCACTGCCTATCCCTGATGTGCTTCTCCCCAGACCCATTTGATTTTTGGTTTAACAAGTCTGTTTGGATTTGAAGAGCTGGAAAAAAGATTGTCAACTTCCAGAAGCTTCTAGGTTATAACTGGAAACAAAATGCTGGAATAGATAGACCTTTGATCTGATTCTGCAACACAGTTCTTACATTTTTTTAAAGTCCTTATATTTAATGCTATGTGCATACTGTTACTCAAATGCATAAACCATTTTTGGAGCTGCATAAAATTTTGTGGATGTGATGTCAAGCAACATATATGGTTGATCTTATTTTGCAGTGATGCTTATTAGTAGCTTGATTTGTAAGCATAGTTGTTAAGTAATGCCATAGGTCATCAAGAAATTAACAAGCATCTAGTAAAAATATGTATACAATGGAAAAAACTTATAATTGCCTAATTAATGCAGGCCTAAGGAAACAGAATAAGCATTGCCCATTAAATCTGTTTTTTCCAGTTGTCAGATTTACTTTACTCTTGCTGCAAAGCTTGTAACTTGCATGTTGCTGTTTAGAACTTTTGATTTTAAAAAACTGCTGAATATGTACCACTATTTAACACCCCTCCACAGATACCATGCAATCATTGAATTGATTTTCAATCTCACAGTTTGATAATTTACCTTGTCAGCAATTTAGATTTAAAGAAAGGAATCCAAAATATTTGACATCAAATAGTATGTTTTAAAAAAACAAAACAAAATAAACCTGGAACATAATCAAAGTCTTGGAACTTCTGCATACTAGTCAGTGCCAAAAGAAAGGAGAGACTGAGTAACAGGAATGTACATTGGCTTTCAATAAGAATTGTTTAGGAGTATTTTATTGCTGGGGTGGAATTCAGCCAAAGTTAAGCATTTTAAGTTCCATTGATTTTAATGGTTGTAGTGTAATCCTATTGAATATACAGTAGTGGGATTTCCTTCCAAATAAACATGCATAGGATTGTGAAGTTAGCACTTAATTTTAACAGCTTAAAAGATGCTTCACTTTTATTGTTTCATTCCTGTGGTATTTATATTTCCAAAGTCCAATGAGCAGGAGATTGAAGATGACACTAAACTTCAAATGATTACCTTCCAATACAGCATTTGAAATGGTAAAATAATTTACCATAATCTGAAAAGGTTTTAAATTAATTTTTAACACTATTGGATAAGAATTTCCCTGCGCTTTTGTTTTAAAGTCATTTCAATAAAATAGGAACTAACTCTGCTGAGTAAAACAATGGAGGTGGTTGTGTGAAACTGTCAAAGAAAGAAATGGGAAAAGCATGTAAAATTGTTTTTATACTACTCACGTTGCAATCCTATGCACGCATTCCTGTGAACAGAGGCAGCTTTAAGGGAGAGCAACTGGTTCCTTCACACTGGGCACAGAGCCTTGGGGGTGCCATAAGGGGCACTGCAACTATGATGTAGGACGGAAGGCAAGGAGGGTGAATTTTGGTGTCGTACAGGATGTTGCTGCTGCGAGTAAGCTGCATTGAATCCTATTGAATTCAGTGGGACTTACTTCTGAGTAGACATGCACTATTGGTCCTATTATCATTGATCTATGTTGCAGAAATGACAATAGAAGTGACTCTTGGCAAACATTTGCAATGTGATACTGAATTTGAGATGTTCCTTTGGATGGCTTGCTTTTCTAGGGGGTTATGGTAGGGATGGGACAAAAAGACAGCTATGTTGGCGATGAAGCACAGAGCAAACGAGGGATTCTGACCCTGAAGTATCCCATCGAGCATGGGATTATCACTAACTGGGATGACATGGAAAAGGTCAGTCAGTTTTGTTTATTTGTCACTATTTGTGATTATTTTCTGCTTTTTAAAATAATAATAATAATAATAATAATAATAATAATAATAATAATTTATTTATACCCCGCCATCTGGCTGAGTTTCCCCAGCCACTCTGGGTGGCTCCCAATCGAGTGTTAAAAACAATACAGCATTAAATATTAAAAACTTCCCTGAACAGGGCTGCCTTCAGATGTCTTTTGAAGATAGGATAGCTGCTTATTTCCTTCACATCTGAAGGGAGGGTGTTCCACAGGGCGGGCGCCACTACTGAGAAGGCCCTATGTCTGGTTCCCTGTAACCTCACTTCTCGCAATGAGGGAACCGCCAGAAGGCCCTCGGCGCTGGATCTCAGTGTCTGGGCTGAACAATGGGGGTGGAGAAGCTCCTTCGGGTATAGAGGACCGAGGCTGTTTAGGGCTTTAAAGGTCAGCACCAACACTTTGAATTGGCAAGTAAAAACACCTGGGGCATATCCAGGGGGAGATGGAAGAGTCCCTTTCTCATGCCCAACCAACCACATGGTAGCTGCTTCCATGTGGTGCAATCCCATTCCGCAGGAAAGCATCTGTGAACAATATGGTCCCATGGGTGGGGCTGATTGCATGGGCCTTTCCCAGCTAATTGGCACTCTCTCTCCCCCCCCGCCCCCTGCTAAGGTGCTGTGTATATGTGTATGTAAAAGCTGCACAACTGCATTATTCACACACACTCCTGGGTACCATGGGATAACACCACACAGAAATGGTTCCCAGACTGCTGTCTCAGCATTAAAAAAGCTAAATGGCCAGGAGAATAAATGTAAGGGGCCATGTTTATTCCTCTGTGAGGAAGCAAAATCCTGGGAAAAAAGCATGGCAGAGATGAAGCAGATCTGTAGCAGGGAATAGCCACAAGCACAGACATATTTAATAGAGGTCCAAACTTACCATATTATCTGCTCTGGCCAACTACAATCAAATAGGTTTCTTTACAGGTCTGGCTGGTTATCTTATAGTTCATTGCTTTGCCTGGCTAAACTTAATAGTGGCATATATGCTGGCTGGATCCGCCCCAAAAGGTTCAACTCCTCACACCTGGCAAAGGCTGGCTGTTCCCTATTCCTCCGTCCACACACTTGATGCAACATCACCTGTCTTCCCCACAGAGAATGAGGACTGAATGCTCAATAAACAGTCGGCATCATCTAGCCTCCCCGCAAACCTTCTGTCAACAAATGAGGATTCATGCTCAGGTCATCTGGAAACAGCCTCTAAGTTTCCCTGTGCTTTTCTGTAGAAGAAAGAAAAACTACACTCTCCGTCCTCTAGATGGAAGTATAGCTTTTCCATATACTTCTCGTTGTGCTTCATTTCACTGCCTCAGGGAACGCAGTCCTGATTCCCACACATACACTAAATCTCAATAATTCACCCTCGCCATTCCTAAAATGTCAGCTTTCTGTGTCGCAACACAGGTTTGCAGTTAAGAGGCAGCATCTGAATTGGCTTCTTCACTGTGCTCTCTTGAGGCCGTGTCCTTCAGGCTGCCAGCTGTGGTAATCCTGGTATCATGCCGACCCCCTTAAAAGCACAAAGCAAGCGACGAGAGTGGTTGCAGATGCTCTTCCTCTAATAGTCCTTTTGCCAGTTCTCCTCCCTCATCCATCGCCACAAGCAAGGCTAGGGAAGAGCAGGAGCAAAGGATTCACTTTTAATTCACCCCAATCAGATTGGGCCCCAAACACTTATCAATGGCTCCATTGCCAAAGCTTTTTCATTTTAAATATTGTACGTCACTGTGGAACTTCTTTGGTGAAGTGCAGTACTGAAATATTTCAATAAATACATCCCCTATAGAAACATTGGTCTTGACACCAGCGGTAGCCAACATGGTGCCCTCCAGATGTTGCCCACCAGCCCCAGCCTGCATGGCCCCAGTCAGGGTGACAATTCCCAGCATGGTTTAACAATCCATCCGTCCCCCAGGGAACTCTGGGAATTATAGCTCTGTGAGGAGAACAGAGATCTACCAACAACTTTCAGAAGAAGAAGAAGAAGAGTTTGGATTTGATATCCCGCCTTTCACTCCCTTTAAGGAGTCTCAAAGCGGCTAACATTCTCCTTTCCCTTCCTCCCCCACAACAAACACTCTGTGAGGTGAGTGGGGCTGAGAGACTTCAAAGAAGTGTGACTAGCCCAAGGTCACCCAGCAGCTGCATGTGGAGGAGCGGAGACGCGAACCCGGTTCCCCAGATTATGAGACTACCACTCTTAACTCTTAACCACTACACCACACTGGCTTTCAGCACCCTTAACAGCGTCCAGAATTCTTTGAAGGAAGCAATGACTGTTTTAAAGCAGGATCATGTCATTTTACATGTATGGTGCCAATGTCATACTCAAGAGTAAACACACTGAAATAAAAGATCCTGACAACCTTTAGCCCATTGGTTTCAGTGGGCTTACAGTACAATTTAGTTGGATGTAAGCCACAGAAAGGACACATTTATTGCAATGTTTCTATAAATATGTGCATGTTTTTATTGCCATAAGGCATTTGGACATTCCCAGGGAGCTGTGAGAGATGGAATGCATGGGCAATGAAATGAAGCATTCTCCAGCTCATATACTTCAGTTCACAATATTCAAATCTGGGCTGCTCCATTTTCCAGAGTGAGCATTCACTTAGGGTACTAGAGGAGTGTTAATGCATTCACAGCTACTGCACATTTAATGTAGGAAGGGGGGGAAGCCCAAGAATGGGGCATTATCTTCTTCTTCTGACTTCATAAATGTCTAATGAGGCTGTTCATTTCTCTTGAATGGCATATGGAAGGGAAATCGGTCACATCCCCATCTTACATTTTAATTGTAAGTATTTGAGAATGCAAGGGTGGCCTGTGGAGAACAGATCTGATCTCTCTTTGGCGTTCACAAAATCAAAGAAATTAGGGCTTAAATGGAACCTAGTCAGTCATAAAAAGCTTTGTACTATGGGTATGGAAACCTCCCGGTTTGGTATGTAATGCATCACACATGAACCACGCTAGCTTTCCCACTCTTATAAAATCTTAAAGGCTTTGAATTGAACATCCTTGGATGAGGGCACTTAAACTGCAGCAGTCAATGAACAAACAGCTTATTCAAACTGGCAGGTAGGTAGCTGCTGTGAGGGCCTGTACAACCTCAGCGTACAAGCGAAGATTGCTTATTTGAAAGTACCCTTAAATAAGAATCTCCCAGCAAGTGGGAAGATAGCATGTTGTGGAGAAACAAAAGCGAGCATCTCTTCTGTGCTAATTTTCCATATGCATGAGAATTTTAATGAGCTTTTCAGTCATGCAGTTCCCACGTGACACAATTATGTGAGGACGATTATACTGTGTATACTCTTGCACATTTGAATTGGTCCCTAAGTGTGGAAAATGTCTTATTTAATATGACTGCGACTCATTTGAGTATATCATTTGGGTCCAGATAAAAGCTTTTATAGGAAAGCCTCTATACTTGGCATTTTGTAGATTTTTGCTGGAGACCAAGTGTCATTCGTAGATGTGGGGCATGAGACCAAACAACACCAGAAGTTCTCATAAGAATTAGTTCATTTCATCTGATTTAAAACAGCATTTGAAACTCGCTGGCTGATTCACTTATGAGAGTACAACATTGTTAGGGTACTTTCGTGATAGATAGCGAAAATTTCTGGCAGAAAGCTATGATAGAATTTCCCTTAAAACAGAGACCGATGTCTAACTTGTCATTGGCTCAATAGACCAATGGTGTATCTTTGTATAAAAAAGCTTTTTATGTTCGTGATGTGAGAAGTTCCAGAAATGTAACACACACATAAAAGAACAGTGTGGTGAAATCCCCCTCCACACAAGGAAACGGAGCAAATTGAGGAACTTGCATATCTGTGTAATATGTGGGGTCTAATAAAGGGATTGGAAACCTCAATTTGCTGTGCTGAAGGAGTTTGAATGTAGCAGAGATGAATTTCACTCAGCCCTATCAGCCTTCACTGTAAGAGGAGATTCATCTGTGGCAGGGAAGAGAGGAAACCCCCAGTGTTCCCACTCAAATGCTGGGTAGTCACAGAAACCCACAACATGGGATGTTTCGGGGTGGGGAATGTGCTGACCCTGCTGCCATCAGGTGATGGCAATGGGCCCAATCCAGGCCCTTTCGCTGCCTAGGAACTGGTAGAGCAGAAGGGCATTTCTCCTTGCCCTCATGTTCTGTCCTGACTGGCACTAGTAGCAGGGCTATAGAAGTAGAGGTGGGTGTGCCACTCTATCCAGCCTTGCCACTACTGTCCAGGGGTTTGGTTTGACCTCTGACTTAATGCTATATGTATTCATTTTGCTACATTTGCTATTTGAAATGCAAAGATTCATTGGGCAACACTCAACACACATTGCCTGTATGTTTGCCTTCAACCACCTGTCCCTTAGATTTTTTTTTTAATGAAATATTTATTAAGGTTTTTTGAAAATTTATATAAAATAGAAAAACAGAAAAACAGAAAAAACAGAAAAAACAAAAATACATACACACAAAATACATACTACAAAGTATAATTTCCATCCCTTATGTTCATAAAACCTATTTTCCCGACCTCCTCATACCTCCCCTTTCTATATTCTAATCTCTAATTAATTCAAATCAGCAAATCCCTCCCCTATTTTCTATTTTAATTTTTAACCTTTCTTTTCTTATTTATCTAATCATTACAGCTGAAAACCACTTAATTTCTAAATCAACATCGTTCTAACATTCCATAATTTTACAATATTTCTTAAGATAATCCTTAAATTTCTTCTAATCTTCTTCCGCCGTCTCTTTTCCCTGGTCTCGGATTCTGCCGGTCATTTCTGCCAGTCCCATATAGTCTATAACCTTCATCTGCCATTCTTCCACGGTGGGTAGATCTTCTGTCTTCCAATACTTTGCGGGAAGTATTGGCGGGATTTAAATTAAACAAGCAGAAAACTAAGGTTTTGGAAAAAAACTTGACAATTATGGAAAAAGAAAGGTTTCAGAAGGAGACAGAGTTAAATGTGGTTAAAAATTTCTAGATCTTTTTTCACTTCTGTCCAGCATTTCTCATAATTATCTTTAAACAAATTCACATTTTTAGCTGTCATATTAATCCCCAAATATTTCACTTTCTTAACCTCAGCTAAGCCTGTCTCATTCTGAAACCTATCCCTTTCCATAGGTGTTAAATTTTTCTCCACTACCTTAGTTTTAAATTTATTCAGTTTAAATCCTGCTACCTGACCAAACTCTTGAATTATTTCTAAAACTCTTTTTGTACTAGATTCTGGCTCTTGTAAAGTAAGTACCAGGTCATCTGCGAATGCTCTCAATTTGTACTGTTTAGCTCCGACCTGTATCCCTTTAACCAGCTGGTCCCTTCTAATCATGTTCAGCAAAACCTCCAGGACTGATATATCACCTGTCCCTTAGATTTGGCACCATTCCTTCTATAATGAACTTCGAGTTGCCCCAGAAGAGCACCCTGTCCTCCTGACTGAAGCTCCATTAAACCCCAAGGCTAATCGAGAAAAAATGACCCAGGTAATTATTTGGATGTTGCTTCCCTTCTGAGCTAGAAAACTCCAGTTTTAGCAGAGAAACAAAAGTGGCTGTGGCTGTCATGCCCAAAAGGGGGGCGGGGCAGCTGGGATGGAGTGATGGCGGGGAGGGGCAGGGACAGCTCAGATGCATTCCATCAAGCTCCACCCACTGGTATGGATGACAAGCTGCAGAATATCAATAAATATTTAGGGTTGTGTCAGATGCGGGTGGTGGTTGCTTGTGAGTAACCAGGCAGGACTCCGACCTGTCTTTTACAGGTTTTATTGTTGCAAACTATTTACAGTGCAGAACCAACAAGTTCATGTCTGTCTTAGTCACTTGCAGAATCCGGGAATGGCCTCTTCCGGTTTCTCCCCAACATAAGAACTTAGACACCCCAAATCTCCGCCTCCCCTTCTTGCGTTTCACCCCTCTGCGCAAACTGGGTGATGGAAGTTGCATATCTGCCTCCTGGCCAGCCAGGCTAGGTGAGGCGCTTGGGCTCTCTGCAGCATCTTCGATCCCTCTCCTTGCTTGGCTGGCCCCTTCCCTCTCTGCTCCACTGGAGGTGTGGCTTTCCCCACCGCTGGACGAGGAGCGAATACAGGTTGAAAGTATGAAAGTATACCAGATGCACAAACAGAATAATAGGATCTTTGTGACCCATTTGCAGTAGACATAAGGCCCCTATCTGGAATACCCTCTTAGACTACAGTGCAAACAGATAACCACCGAAACAAGGAGCAGTTATGCATTGCGAATTTCTAAGTTTCTATGTCCCGAAAACAGAGAATTATTTACCTTTCTGCTGCCAAAGTATCAGAAGCAGAGCTTCCCTGCCTTTGTTCTTCCATGCTGTGGAAATGGCTGTGCGGACTCTGCAAAAGAGCAATTTCACAGTTTTGCAGCAAATGATTTCTGATAAGTGGTAGGTCTGTAAGGTCTATTGCTCTTCAGAAGTGGAGAAAGATAATGAAATGCTAGTCATCCACCTTTTCTCAGAGAAGTATACTGCTGAGCTGCTCATTTCGGAAAGACTGTGAATTAACGAATTTAGAGGCCATTTCAGTTGAGCTGAGTCAGGTTACTGTCAAAAGAAACAGGGATTAAAGCTAGAATAAAAGGGGTTTCACCGCTGTCAGGCTGCAATTAGACAGCAAGCCCAGAATTCTGCATTTAAAAAATTCAGAGGGGAAACCTCATTATTTCAATTTATTATGCTCAATACTGTTAATGAAATTGCATGTCTTGTTTGGTGTAAACCGTCTGGGATCATTTGTCATCCTCATTCAGTTTCCTACACTAGGGACTTTGAAAGAAAGACTTAGGCGTGGTGTGGAATAACGTGAGGATAATTTAATTAGTTGTGTAATTAATCTGGTAAAATTCCACCACAGTGGACAGTGAGACAAATAACAGGCTTTGTTGGAAGCCAAACTGCAGTGGAACTGAGGCAGCGCTGCATGCGACAACCATCGGATGGAATGGAAATCATTGTCCTCCTATGCCTTTATTTTCATATGTCCACCACTGCAAGTATGATTTATCTTGGATACTATAGCTCCTGTGCACAATTTGGAACCAAGCATATAATGCTGCTAGAAAAATTGGGTATCCTAAAACCAGATTTTAATAGCATTGTAGCATTCTCTTTCTATGCTTAGAGATCCTAAGACACTCTCATTTGCTACCTACAGATCATGTTTGAAACTTTCAATGTGCCTGCAATGTATGTGGCCATTCAAGCGGTTCTTTCTCTCTATGCATCTGGCCGAACTACTGGTGAGTTTGAAATTGATGCCATCATCTTTAAAAAAAGAAGGTTTCCTCACATATATGTATCTTGATACACTGGCCCCTATTTTTCCTTACCAGGCTATTATGAGAAAACCAGATCTTCTAACAAGCCCCTACCATACTGAATTAACATCGGGAAAGAAAAGAGAGAGAATTGGGAACACTCAATCTCCAGCCAATAATTGCCTGTGACCAATCAGAACTGCTGTTTTGTAGAGTTAAACTCTTCCCTTCTCCAATCAAAAAATCAAAGTGGTTGGAAGCCAGCCACTCATATACCCCCACCCCCCGCCTGCTGGTGTGCACAGGAAGAAAAACCCTTTTATCCCAGATAATGTTCCTGAAGCAATTGTTGTCCCCCTACAAAATAATAGCTGCATATTTAACTGTAGCCTGTTTTCTAATTGCATTGGAAATGACCTATTTTCTTCAGCAAGCTTTATAAAATACATTCAAATGCCAAATGAAAACTTGCTTAACTATGCATCAAAAAGATGGAGAAGGAAAGCGCCTACCCCGTGCCTGTATGGTGGGTTAGCTACTACATTACACATAGTGAAAATTATGCTCCTGGCTTTGACTTAAAGTATCTTATATTTACTATAAATTCCTGGCAACTGCCCCACATGGCCACCACCCTGTCTGGGTACATGGCAACCCTATCAACCAGGGCTGTGACTTGTTGGCTAACTTCACCAATCCAGGGTGCCCCTCCAGACAACCTACCGTATTTTTGGCTCTATAAGACGCACCAGACCACAAGACACACTTAGTTTTTGGAGGAGGAAAACAAGAAAAAAAATATTCTGAATCTCAGAAGCCAGAACAGCAAGAAGGATCGCTGCGCAATCCCTCTTGCTGTTCTGGCTTCTGAGATAGCTGCGCAGCCTGCATTCGCTCCATAAGATGCACACACATTTCCCCTTACTTTTTAGGAGGGAAAAAGTGAGTCTTATAGAGCAAAAAATACGGTATTTATTGAGCACTCATCATGATCTGGTGTGTACAAAACTTACTCAGAGTTTAGATCATGGGTAGGCAAACTAAGGCTCGGGGGCCGGATCTGGCCCAATCACCTTCTAAATCCAGCCCCCAAACGGTCCGGGAATCAGCGTGTTTTTACATGAGTAGAATGTGTGTTTTTATTTAAAATGCATCTCTGGGTTATTTGTGGGACATAGGAATTCGTTCACCCCCCCCCCCAATATAGTCTGGCCCCCCACAAGGTCTGTTGGACAGTGGACCGGCCCCTTGCTGAAAAAGTTTGCTGATCCCTGGTTTAGATGATATCCAATATTTCTTGAGCATTCATCCTCCAGTCATCTTGATTTGCTTGCAGAGCATTTATTCCTCTTCTTGTTAGTCAGGCATCCATCCCATACTTTTCAGTGCATTTTTCCATGACTTTCCCAAGCCACAAAAAGTCCTCTATTTTAAAGTGGATTTGTTTTGCTAGAGCAATGGGGTGCTTTAATCCATTTTAAATGGTGCAAACCTGAAGTTCCAGCTTGTGTCTGAATTCCTCCTGCAAAATACTGACAGTCTGGAGGCGCCCATTAAATAGGGTTGTCAACTAGCCAGAAAAAAATCCAGCTCAAAAATTCAGGGTTTTTAGTGGCTATAGCTTTTGAGTTTATTAGGGCAGTCTGTGGCTGTCTCACACCTAGTTCAGGGAGAGTCCACGAGTTCTCTGTGGAAGGGAGTCCACAGGTGGGCCTTTTTGCAGCAATATACGTTGCCTTGTAGATAGCTGCTGTTTTATTGTTCCATTAAAAAAACCCTCCGCATTTTAGTGGCAAATCTATATGTTTATACATCAGCATTTTGATATTCTTTGCAAATTGTTTGGGATCCTTTTTTTTTTTTTTGGTGAAAGGCTAGAGAAATGTAAGAAGATCATTATCATTAGCATCTGTTTCAGAGAGAACAATGCCATGCAATTTCTGACTCTTTCATGAAGGCAATTTCTTCTTTGTATAGGCCAGCAATTTCCCTCTGAGTTCCACTCAGCATGGAGACAATAGGAATTATCATTTGCAGTCTCTCCTTTCAATCCCAGTTGTTGTCAAAGGGTTTAATTTAGCAGAAAGAGTGGGGCAGGGCAAGGTCTACGGAGAAGAATGCTGACGCTTCTAATTTTCTTCCTCTCTCTTAGGGATAGTTCTGGACTCTGGGGACGGTGTCACACATAACGTACCTATCTATGAAGGTTATGCCCTGCCACATGCCATCATGAGACTGGATCTGGCTGGAAGAGATCTCACTGACTATCTCATGAAAATTCTTACAGAGAGGGGATACTCTTTTGTTACTACAGGTAATCAGTGCTTTTCCTACAGATCAAGGGAGGAATATAGTGTTGTGCTAAGACAATTGTTTCACCATTTTAGGGATACATGAGGAGGGGAAAGCCCCTTTGCAAAAGCAGAAGTCCTTCTGCAGGGCTTCTGCTAATGGAATTCATTATTTCAATTCCACCTCCTGTTTACTTCTGATAATGCTGTCTTATTCTGCCACATCATGGATGCTTTAGCTGAGATTCCTGCATTGCAGCGGGTTGGACTAGATGGCCCTTGGGTCCCTTCCAACTCTTAAGATTCTATATTCTGTTATCATATTGGATAAATAAATACCATATGTTATTTCTCTCTTCAAAAAATGGCTTGATCATTATCAACATGATGTTATTGAAGAACCACCTAGCATCGAGGCATGAATTATGTTCTTTGATTTTCTGATTTTCTAATTCTTTTTTAAAAAATCAAAGTTTTCTCTATGCTCCCCACTTCCACCCCAAATATACAAAAATATAAAAACAGACAATAAAATAAAAAGAAAGAAAAAGACAAAACCTAAGAAAGATTTAACAGCAGCCTGCTAAGCACACTCTTTCTCACCTCACCCCATGATAGTTTGAGGTTATGTGGCAGCTGTGAAAAAGGTGAAATCCATGCTAAGGATTATTAGGACACGAACTGAAAATAAGTTTGCCATCATCATCGTGCTGTTAAACAAACCTATTGTATGCCTGCATTTGGAATTACTTTTCACAGTTTGCAGTCTCTAAAAGGATATTGTAGAGCTGGGAAAGGTTCAGAAAAGGGCTACTAAAATGGTCAAAGGACTGTAATACTTCCATTGCGTTTAAAAGTTACACCAGTTGTGGCTTTTTACTTTACAGGAAGTGGGAGTATGGGGGAACATGACTGAGGTACATAAAAATAAGCAGTGTGGGAAGATTCAGCATGCACAAAAGGAAAGTATGACTTAACACTGTGCATAGGTACACTATGGAAATTTCTTCCACAAGATGTAATGATGGCTGCCAACTTGGATGACTTAAAAAGACGATTAGACAAATTCATGGAAGATAAGGCTATCACTGGTTACCATCCACAATGGTTATTCTTCATCCACTGTCAGAGTCAGTATGCTTCACTAGACCAGCTTGAGATCACAAATGTACAGCTTGCACTCAGGTACTGCTTGCAGGCTTGTTGGTCACTGTGGGAACAGAAGGCTTGATTAGATGGGCCTTGGTCTAATCCAGGACTTTTCTTATGGTGAGAGCGAATACAGCTTGCTGAACTGTCAAGTCTTCAGCCTGGGGCATGGAGTAAGAAGAGAAAAGGACTATAAACTATGTCAAATGTTTAAGACTGCAACACCCAATTAATTTTAATAAGGAGCAAACTTCCAACACTGTGCCATCTAATGTGCAAAAATGAAATACAAGTGTCGTTAGAATGAAGGTCAGCCCAACATCAAGATCTTACTGCTAGCTTCAAGTATCGGGCTTTGTATCTGCTCCTGCCACTGATTTCTTCATTGCATGATCCATCCAGGATCTCTCTCTGTCTAGGTGTACTGCTGGATTTTCTTACAAAAGAAGAGTTCATAAATCAAGCATAGGTGTGGGAAACCTTTTTGAGCCTGGGGGCCTCAGTCCTTGGAGGTAACCCTTCAGGAACCAGAGGAAAAAGTGGGTAGTATGCTATGTTTGAGCTACACAAAAGGCAAAGCTTTCTATACCCACACATGTCTCCATTTCCCATCCTGGCAAGCATGAGGCAATACCACAGTTCAATGACATGTTCAAGTCAGACAGAAGCCCTTGAGGAGGGATTGCTGGTTGAAGACCTGGCCAAGAGAAGGGAGGTGGTCTATGGGTGGGCAAAGTCTGGAGAGAGTTTCAAGGTCTGGACAGAAAGGCTTGAAGAGCCACAATTGGCCCCAGACCTGAGGTTCCCCACTCATAGTATACCAGTAGTTTTCTGGCTTCATTAGGGATAACATCTGTCCCTTATGAGACACCAGAATATTAAAGTGGACCCTTTCAAGAATGCTGAGCTGACCAACTTTTCAAAATAACTTCTGTGATTTCTTTCATCTTATGGGAAGAAATCGAATGAAAGATCTGTGCTGCTTTCATGTGAAAATAAGAATCTTTTCTCAGCCTTTACTAGGAGTATTTCATTTGTTTTATAATGCATAAAAGGCTAAAAGAAAGCAGATGGGTACTTAAGAATTAAGAAGCTTGTTATCCTATATTAAGTTTCTTAAAGAAGAGTCCTAATACTCACACAGGTAGGGATCACCTATGTAGGTTCAGCACATAGCAACCTTGGATGTTTAAAGGAGGTGACAGAGGAAAGGGAGGACCGTATACCAAATTTATAGCCCAGGGGCTCAGCTAGACTGGTAAAGAAAAAACGATTTATATGTGTTGTATGTGTGATATAACATTGTGCCACCAGATGGCGACGTGGAGCCCCGTTTTTCTCTACCCGTTTTCCCTGTTTAAATTTACAACATTTTAAACTGATGTGTCTAGACCCAGGTGGCTTTTAAGTCAGCATGCTCTACCAGTCAGCTGACTTTTACATAAGGAAGGCACTCTTAACGCCTTTCAGAGCCAAAAGATTAGGCTGGAAAGGTGCTAATTAAAAAGGAAGTTGTTCAGGCTAATCCTGGTAGACATGACATTTCGAAGGGATTTTCAAATCATGTGCTTTAAAGTGGCAGCAGTTATATCCTTCGTTCTCCTTGGAGAAATGGAGGCTGGCTCTTTGTTAGGAAAGCTGTAGCTCTTAAAAAAGACATACCTTGAAAGGACAAAGCTGTAGCCCAAGTGTTTTCTTGGGATTTCTCTGTTCTGCCTGTGTGGCAGGGCCAAGGGAGACCGATTTTCCATCCTGGGAAGGACTGTGGTTATAAGGATTCTGATCAATAACCCAAGAGCCCTCTGCTATCATCTTACACCTCACTGCTTGATGTTTGCAGCCGAGCGTGAGATTGTGCGAGACATCAAAGAGAAGCTCTGCTACGTGGCTCTCGACTTTGAGAATGAAATGGCCACTGCTGCATCCTCCTCTTCCCTGGAGAAGAGCTACGAACTCCCCGATGGTCAAGTCATCACTATTGGCAATGAACGGTTTCGATGCCCTGAAACACTCTTCCAGCCATCGTTCATAGGTGGGCCTGCGCTTGTTTCCCGGGGCTGTGGTTAACAGGCAAAGAAAACATGTTATTGTACTGCTATACTGGAGATGTTACTGCCATGACCATATTTGCTATGTGAACAAAAAAAGTAAAGATGAGAGAAAATGCTGTTGTGTCTAATTTATTTTGGCATGAGCATTTGTAGATTAATCCGGTTGACAAAATGGACTGAGTAGTTGGTATATATGGGAAGAGGTACCCTGGAAGACAGAGCAATCTGACAAGAATTTGCTTCATATAAGACTTAAAACAATGTTTACCCCTAAATACTAAATACAGTCATATCTCGGGTTACAGACGCTTTGGGTTGTGTGATTTCCGGTTGCGCACCGCGCCGAACGCGGAAATACCAGAACTGGTTACTTCCAGGTTTTGGGGCTCGCACATGCGAAGAAGCTCCGAATCACAACCTGTGCGTGCGCAGACGCTGCGCTGAGGGTTGTGAACGTGCTTCCCACATGGATCATGTTCGCAACCCAAGGGTCCACTGCACGTTTATTGGCATCAGATTTAAGGAGTGTATATGGGGACTTCTCACTATTTTCTTTAAAAAAATTACATTCATTACCAGGAAAGGAATCAAGCGCGTGTGTATCTTAAAGGGAAAGACGTGTTTGTTTGTGAAAATGGATGTTTCACATTAGGTTAACATTGCAGGTTTAAAACTTTGGATAATATGCCTTATGCAACCTTAAACTTCTGAAGGCAAACAAACTGGTTTAGGGAAGAGCATCCGTTACAAAAAGGGCTCATTCACACTTATATTATGCCCCACACTTTCTAGGCACACATACATACGGATGGCATGGGGTCCTTATACAAAATTAATTAAATAATTAAATCTGGTTGATAACTATAAGGCTGTTGTCGTTTGCATAATCTGGATTGCTGTTATCCCTCCAACTGAGCACCTGGACCAGCCACCTAAAAATATTTTCACTATCATATCCCACCCTACTGATCAAAAATAATGGGAAAGATCTAAAATCAGCCTCTCTTTATTTTGTATCACATTCTCGCACTCTTTTAAAAAAGTGAGAGTGGCTTGCTTAGAAATACGTGATCAATTAATCCTCGTAATTTCATTTCTTTCCAGGGATGGAGTCTGCCGGTGTCCATGAAACAACCTATAACAGTATAATGAAATGTGATATTGACATCCGTAAAGATCTTTATGCTAATAATGTGCTTTCTGGAGGGACCACCATGTACCCTGGCATTGGGGACCGTATGCAGAAGGAGATTACCGCTTTGGCTCCAAGTACAATGAAGATCAAGGTCAATGTTACATCTAACATCAATCTAAGAGGCCATGAATAGGCCGGAGCATGTGATTTCTAGAGGGGGGGAAAGATGAGAAGCTAGAACACAAGAGATCTATGTCCAGATTTTATGTGGCCACCTGATTGCTCTTCCTCACTTTAATCGGAGTATAGGTCTGTCAATGGCTATATACACCATGCTAACAATTAAGTCTCTAACTGAATATAGCTATTTCCATTGTGACCTGCTTTTGAGATACTTGGGGGGTGTTTTGGAAGATGCTAGGCTGAATGGATAAGAACATAAGAAGAGCCCTGCTAGATCAGGCCAAGTTCCACCTAGTCCAGCATTCTGTCCTCCCAATGGCCAACCAGATGCTATGGGAAGTCCATAAGCAAGACCCAAGTACAGCAGGACCCTCCTCACTTGCAATTTCTAGCAACTGGTATAAAGAGGCATAATGTCACCAACAGAGTGGGGGAGGATAGCCATCATGGCTGGTAGCCATTCATAGCCTTATCCTCCTTGAATTCATCTAATTGGCTTAGTTGCAAATTTGTCATAAAGCAAAGGATTATAGATAATTTTATGGTTTTATTGATTTACAATTGACCTGACTTGCATACCACTTTGTAGCTATCGTAGTCACACAACCAAGAGCTTGTATTGCTTGCATATTCCAGAATGAGAATAATAGGGATTAGAAGACATGATGACTAAAATGAGAATGATTGTCACCTAATTTGTATGTTCCCTTCTTAATCTCCCCCCTTCTTCTAGATGATTGCACCTCCAGAACGTAAATATTCTGTATGGATTGGGGGATCCATATTGGCTTCTCTTTCGACCTTCCAGCAAATGTGGATCAGCAAAGATGAATATGAGGAATCTGGTCCCTCCATTGTCCATCGCAAATGCTTTTGAATATGCTAAATGTTACCTTGTGGTGTTTCTCTACCAGATTTCTCTGGAAATTTAGTTTAAGCTTTCCCTCACTGCCTAGTCTGAAAACACAATAAAGGTGATGTTAACTGAACAGATTTTGTCATTTCTGGATGACAAAATACGTACACCCCATATTCTCAAATACGTACACCCCATATTATGTACACCCCATATTTTCCATTCAAATAACAAGGATCCTTAGAAAATCCTTCATTGGTTATTAAAGAAGTTATTGCAGGTAGGAAGTTTCCTAACACTGCTCACCAGGGGATGTAATACTTCATGCTTTGAAATAAGATGTTCAATGTCATATGCAATATCCAATGAGCTCTGTATGGCTTTAATATGAACATTTTATCCTCACAAGAACCCAATGACTTAAGCAGACTGATTTGCCCAAGGCTACCAAGTCAACTTCATTGCTAGGTAGAGTTTTGAAATAGCATTTGTCACATCTAAACACAGCATGCTAGCTACTATTAGTTTTCTACTATTTTTAAGAGCAGTTGGTAAAATCCTGCTACTAACAGGACTTTGTCATTTGATGAATTGTAGCCACTCATTAATTAATTACCCATTGGCATTGTGATAATAACAGCATGGGATTTACCCCCCTCCATTTAATACAAGTTTCTCTTGGTGGAGTTGCTGTAATATAATGGAATGTTTGCAAACATTCCAACTTCTGAAGACTTGGCAATCCTATGTCATAACCAGTGCATCATCTGTAACATAAGTGAAATGCCAATTTAGTTAGAGCAGCCTTCCCCAACCTCGTGCCCAAGGCTGGTGCTTTCATGAGGTAAAACAAAGCAATTTGCCTCAGGTGGCAGATCCAACCCTCTCCTCATCTCCACCACTGTGCTGCTGCCAGCCCAGCTCCTCTTCTGCCAACCCCACTGTGACTTTGCCCATGCTGCTGCCACCACAGTGCCCTCGCCCTCACCACTAATGCTGTGCCCTTGCCACTGCATCGTGGCAGCAGCACAGGCGCAGCTGTGGGTGCAGTTGTGGCAGGGCTGGCAGCAGTGCGGATGCAATGGTGTGGACAGGGAAAGGCTCAGATCTGGTGGTGGCGGTGGCAGGGGCGCATCTTGCCTATTGAGGCAAAACATCCCGGGCCTCCCCCGCCCTGACTATAATTCTCATCAGTGTGGTCTATGATCAGGGATGATGGGAGTTGCCATCTGAAATGGAGTGAACCAGGTTGGGGAAGGTTGGGATAGGGAAATCTATTATAGATGGTGACTGGTGTCCACTGCAGCTAGCAGGGCAAAAGGCAGGGAGATGAACAATCTGTGGAGCCAGAGAAACTCTCAGGCAGAGCCAATTCATTCTAGTTCTTCTCCTTCTCCTCCCTGCTGAGTTCTGCAAGGGCCTAAGGAGGAGGAAGCTGACAGGCCATGCAACCCCCTGGACTGGTTATAAGTAAGAAGGCAGGTGTGTGTGTGGGGGGGGGGTGCTAACTGAAGGCAGACTGAGGTTGGTGTAGCACTGCTCCATGTGCCTGAATTGAGCTGCCTCCTTCTTAGTGAGAGGAGTCTGACCGATGTGCTGCTCCCTGGAAGAGAAGAGCCAGCGGCGCTTTGGCATCATGGAGCCCAAGGCCACAGACCAACTATGGTATTTTGGCCTGGTGGTTTCACACATCAGGATTGCGACCTCCATCTGTAGAATAGTTATGTGACTCCATGTTTGGTTACAAGGAATACAGGATTTAACGCTGAACAAAGACCTATTGCTTCCTTCAACTTCGGGCACACATTTAATGAGGCCTAGTTCCTGTGTGAATGGCATGCTTGTGTGTAAAGCATCTGACTGAATGGTGAATATTGCCATTATTGCCATCCAGGGAGCTTCATGGCTGGGCAGACATTAGAACTTGGGTGTTCTCAGGCTCAGTCCAACACTCTATCCCACAATGCCAAACTGGTTCACAATCAGCTACACAAACTGTAGATGTTCGATTTTCTTTACCCTTGTAGCAGAAATCCATTTCAACACCCCCAAGTCTCAGCATAATGCTTTGTTTTTGTGAGATCATCATAAGTGTGTGGTTAATTTACCTGCCAGAACATTGGGCTTGTTTTTCCTCTCACTGTCCCTGAGTGCTTTGGCCAATTAAGTGGCTTTTAATTAACCTTCTGCTGCTGCCCTTGTTAGGCAAAAGTAATAGTTGCTAAATAAATAATAATCCTTCCAAATATGCTATCATAATTATTGGGAGCTTTAATGATTGTGTAATTAACCATGTAATGCTAATGTGACTTGCATTAATTGCACAGCCACTAAACAGATATGAATAAGCAACCAGAACAGTCTGTTTTAATTTGTTTATTAAAAAAAGAAGCTGTTTTGAGATGTGATTCGTAGCAAAATGTCCTGGAGTTTTAGTAATGTCCCTAGTTAACTCAACCAGGTTAACTAAAGTAAGAAAAGTCTACAAACAAATAGTAATCTATCATCGTGACTTAAGATGCCAAGGAAACCCAGTGCCAAACAATACATTTGTAACACATCGTAATACATTTGTTGGTATAGAGTTGGAGCCAAAGAAGCACCTGTGGAATGGAGGGGTAGAAGGTGACTCTCCCCTCACCCTGACAGCTTCCCCAAGTCCCTGAAAAAGCCTGGCATAGAGGGCAGCTGGGCAGCTTCCACAGCAACCCTCAAAATTCACATACAGAAAAGGGGGCCTCCTGCCACTGCACTAATCCGTAGTGGCAAGAAATACAGTGGTCTATAGGAAGGAATGGCTGTAAGTGGTTAAGATTCTGTTTTTCATAGTGAACCAGGGTAAGACATAAGGCTTTCCTTTCTTTCAGCCAGTAGGCATGTGGTTCTCTGAGGTTGTTTAGAGCTTGCTTATGTGGGTTGTCACAGTGACTTTCTTTTTAATTGATTATCTGCATTGATGAGGAATTTAGTCATATGCCCTTATTCATTATAGAACTCCCGACTTTCTAGCTAATTGTAGGAAATTCCTATAAAGAAAGAGAAGCGCTCTCTCTCTCTCTCTCTCTCTCTCTCTCTCTCTCTCACACACACACACACACACACACACACATACACTATCCCAGCCTTCAGGGACAATATGCAATTTAATTGCCAGCAACCCCTATTTTCTGGAATTAAAATGAACATTGCAGCTTGTGAAACTTCAAGGAGAATTACAGCCCAAGCTTTTTTGGTTCAGCATTGATTAGCACCAGTCACTAACTGGTGTTAGACCAACTAATGGGTGGTTGTTGTTTTTTTTGGGGGGGGGTTTCTCCCCAATCCTGTGATTCATAGCTGTAAAATTGGATTATGAAGAAATGGGGAACTACTAAAATGGTGAAGATTAACACCTGAGCAAAAACAGCTAGGCTGGTCTGAAGCCAGTGAATTATCGTAGAAATGAAGTAGGTAGACATTCCCTTCTGAGGTCTTTCCCACCTCACATCCTTGCTGGAGCTCATGTCATCAAAGTAGGCGTGTGTATGTGAAAGACAACAAAAGAGTGAGGCAGTCTTGGAGCTGGGACAAAAAGAGGCCCAGAGGCCTGGACTACTGCCTGTAACAATCCAAAAATTATGGTTTTAGTAAAACACACACACACACACACACACACACACACACACACACACACACACTGCAACAAGCCAGAGGCGTAGGAAGTGGGGTGCGGTGGTTGCGGGCCGCCCTAGGTGCCATCTCTGAGGGGAGTGACAAAATCCCCCCTGGGCAGGGATTGCCACACCGATCGCCCCCCTGGGCGGGAATTGCCTCAGATTGCCTCATTGATCGCCCCCATGGGTGGGGATCACCGTGCCGATCTCCCCCCAGGGTGGCCCGCCCCATGGGCAGCCTGCCCCCAGGTGCTAGCTACGCCACTGCAAAAAGCACCAACTGAATAGCCCATCAACATCTAGAGGACTACTGAATTTCTACCTCTGCTGTAAAGGAAGGCGTATGTCTATTTCCCCACTTTTGATTTCATCGCTTTTGCAAGGAGTATCCATGACCTATGTACTGTACTCCATCGTGGTTGCTTGGAGAATAAAATGCTAATGTTTTATCACAGACCAGTAGATTAGCAATATAACCCTGAATGCATTTATTAGAAAATACTTCTGATAAATATTTTTAGAATAATCATATTTCTGTTCCCTGCATTCCCCTCCCCCATTTTTACATTCTCCCAATAGTTTTCATCATAACACCATGATTTTTATTTCCCTTTGATATTTATTCATTTTATTTCAGTACCAATGTCTGGAGCAATAAATCTTGCTGGGGTATATATTTTCGCACGTTAACTTGAAAAGGACAAATGCCAAGCGCCTCAAGGAAGAAAAACGATTCAAATATACTCTTGAAACTAGTGTTGATGAGCAGTACACCAGCATCTTCTTCTGAATCAGGTACATGATTGAGTATCATTTATGTGACTGGGGAAATGTTGTTGGCCGTGGATGTGGTGGCAACTATGTTCCTGCCTGACGTGATGTCAAAATTATGCTGCCCTCTCACACTCTGCATTGAAACTCTCTTTTATGTCACACATTGATGAAGATGGTGAGCAGGGGAATCAGCCTCTGTTTGGCATATGTTGCCTGAAGCAGTTGTTTCACATTTGCTTCATAACAAGGCTGACCCTGAGTGCAATATATATATATATATATTCTCAGAATAGGCATGCTGAAAATGGTTAGTTTAAATCGTCGCTCTAAGAGTGACAATAAAAAACTCAACGGTGGAAAAATTTACCCCATCAAAAGAAAATTACATTTCTGAAGAACTCTAAAGGAAGCAATTTTTTGTCCAACTTGCCAATACATAATAACCTCAGAATGGAGCTGTGTAGAAGGAAAATCTCACTGGTGTATTTTCATTCTCAAAGACCAAATACATAATTTAAAATATATTCTTAGAATTACCTTCCTCCCTCTTAAACATGCTATAACCATACAAACTGGTGACATGACATACTTATTG